CGCGAAAATTTGTGAACGGTTTTGATTTTCGGCGAGAGGATTTCTCTAGTGTGCGAATTTAGTCTTTTTGTCGCGGCCAAAATTCGAATCATAGGATTGTCTATTGTCTTTCCCTCGGGGTTGGAGGCGAAGAAGCTGTGCGGCGCCCGCGCGGCCGCTCGTGTCCGTGACCCATTTTCTCTCCCGGAAACCCAATTGTCTTCCCGTTGTAATCATCATTTTTGCGTTTAATTTTGAGATTAGCTTTGCGACTCGTCCGTCGAGTAATTTTTGTGATTAAAGTTGTAAAATTTAGAAGCCGAGAATTATCGAGATTATGTCGAGTAATTCAGAGTAGCCTTTTGTCGCGTAACGTCAATTCCGGCAGTCCATGTAAGCAACTGCATAGGATTGTCCTTATGAACTAAATTTCAGCCTTAGCGACCCTTTCTTTTTGAATTTAAGCCAAACTTGTTTTCGAGTTTCCCGATTCGGACTTTTCTTACCCTTTGTCTTTCCCGGCGCCGAGTAGCCGTGGATCTATATTTTGTATTTCCCGGATCGAGTTTATTGCGAACCGCCGCGCGTTCGAATTTTCTCGTTTCGGATCGGATTTTCTTTGGGGCGGCCTTCCGTCGAATCCTTTCGTCTTTCTTGTAATTATCTATTGTCAGCGGGCTAAATTTTCGGTAACTGATTTTTCTAATTCTTTTATTCGAATAAATCTGTTAAATTTTCATGATTTCTGTATTTGATTTCCTGAGCTGCATTCTTCAAATTTTTCCGATTTCAGTTTTTGCCCAATTCGTTGGGTTTTCCCCGATCCCGTAGTCTGATCTTACCTCACCCTCTCCAAACCTGGCGCGTGCGCTCTGTGCTAGCCGGCCGCTCCGCGATCATCGACGAGACGGAGATCGGTCGAGCCTAGCCTTTTGAGTTTGTTTGAGATTATCGAGTTTTGTTCGAGAGTTTTGCATTTTTGAGATTGTCGAATTTTGTTCGAGTTTTGCATTTGTGAGATTGTCGAGTTGTTGAGACTATCGAGAGTTGAGAGTTCGTTTCTTTGGCCTCCAGAAAGGTCTGGCGCTCAGCTTCGTGTCTCGTTCCTGAAACCGGGAAATTTTAGAGTGGCTCGAACGGATCCGCCTAGACAATCTGGCGAAGGTGACGAGCGATTGTCCGGGCACTGCGAGCCCGGAACCTATCCCCCTTCATTCATTCATTCATGTCATTCGTCACCATCCATACATATACTACACCATGACAGGAGCATCACGTGTACATACCCCACACGGCGATCCCCTTAACCAACCAACAAGCAAATACCACGCGCGCGCGCGCACACACACACACACACAACCCTACCCACAATACAATACTGCACCTACAGAAACACCACACCCACACTACACAGACACCCGACTATTACAAAACACACTCCCACCGCAACGCACACAATGGACACAATCATATACAACGCCCCAACATACACACCACCATACCCATTGTACAATAAACCACCGTTCCACATTATTTGTAACGATAGGACTCGAGGGCGCGGGTTAGGTGGCGTCCTCGCGCGCCGCAGTCCACGTTCGGGTCTCTTCCCGCGACAGTGGCCCGCTCGGAGCGTTTGAGTATCCCTAGGGGTAATGCCTGGGTGGAGTAAAGTATTCTCAGGGTTTTGATAACAGTAATGGAGTTTATTCGACGTCCGTCGGCTGCTGGTCGGCGTCAGTTGATTGAGGTCTGAAAGCGGAACATTGGGAGCAGACTGGATACAAACCGGATCGTACTTAATGCTACTGGTTTACAACTTGACTTAAACGCTAGTTGCGGTAATGTCTGTAGCCCTACTGTTCGAACTCCCGGGTCGGAGAGGCGACACGATGGTATAAGTTCGGCTCGTATCGTCTCTTGTCGGAATTATTTTCGGAGATGCGAATTCGCGCCTATAGTGATTCGAGGTCTCGTCCTGCGAATCGAGTTTGAGAGTGTAGGCGGGTTTCTTCCCTTCCTACGACTCCCTTGCTCTATGTCCCCGGGCCTCCTATAGTGCCCGGGAGGCTCGCGCTCCTGCGGAGAAGAGCGCGGGCCGTGGGTCGTCGCATAGCGGCCGCGGCACGCACTAGTTAGCCGGCGTCGCGCTTGCGGGAACCGGGCACCGGGCTGCGGGGCCCGGCCGTCGTGCTGTGCGAGTCATGTGGCTCGCCCTCGGGCGCCCTGGACCGAGGCACACGGCTCGTTACATATTAATACATGGACAATTTCATATTCGGGACATACACATGAAAACCTACACACTTTCCTGAATACAATACGACAGCTACAGTTACTTATTACTTACAGTTACTAATTAATAGACAACCAATTACTACATAACATTTTCATATTATTTAAAGATAACGTAAAACAGTGGTATGACATACACCGTCAACTTTGGAACTCCTTTGAAGACTTCGAAGAACACATACAAAATACATTCCAGGGACTAGATTATATGGACATACTGGAACAAAAAGTACGGTCGTACACACAGAATCGAAACCAACCGATTACAGAATATTTACTACAACTGCAAACCCTGGCTCAGCAACTCAACCCCACCGAAAAATTACAATATATAGCGTACAATAACCTAAGATTGGAATACAAAACAGGGATACACAGGAAGGATTTTACTAACCTGACACAATTACAAGATTTAGGAAAGGAATGGGAATACAGTAAGTTACGGGCAAGACAAATAGAACATATATCACGCCCAACCTACAAATCAAGATACAACACACCACACATTACATACCCTATCCCCAATTAAACGACATATCTGTCACGAGGACACTACAGACCACCCTTACCACCCACACCACGAACACCAGCTATTACGTTTCGACTAGAAAACAGCAACAACCAAGCAATAGGTTATTACTGTTGAACACCGGGACATTTTATACGAGGATTCCCCAACAGACGACCACAAAACGAATAGGACCAGGGAAACGACAGAATGGAAGGGCAATAATGGCCGAGTCACTTCCCCCCATAGAAAACTAAGCCCAATACACGAAATATCATGCGCACGTACATACATGCACATACAGAAAACAAGAATAGATGGTTCCTACCAATTAAAATCGTGGAATGCATAATAAATGCACTAGTGGATACAGAGGCAACCCACATGTTTATTAATAAAACAATCGGGGAACATCTTCAAAAATTTAAAGCTATCAACAGTCCAACCCTCAAACAACGTAATCACAGTCGCTAACGGACATACAACCACAATCGAATCCATTATACCAATTCCCATTACTATTTGCAACCAAACACACATTACCAACACAAGATTGGTATCAGACCTAACGTACAACTGTATCCCAGGAATGGATATACTAATGAACACAAAAATGACTATCGATTTCAATACCAACACGTGGACCCTACCAGAGAAACAACACATCCGATACCCCATCGAAACAAACCCAACAACACTTTCCCAACTAGTAAAACACCTTAAACACCATGAAATCCAAACAAACAGGAAACCCGACACATCCGTGGATAGACCCAGAACAAATCCAACGACGCACCAAGGGACAACAACCAAAACTAAACGGAAATTCAGACGAAAGAGACCCAAACTAACACGGAACACCTAAACACCAACAAGACACGCAAAAAGCTAACTAATACACAAAATTATAAACCGATAAAACAACGTGCGTACAGAACATCAAAACACATTAAACAAGCAATACACAACGAGTTCCACAAAATGTTAAAATACGATATAATAGAAAACTCACACAACGAATGGTCCAGCGCCATCGTTATGATTAAAAAGCCGAACAATACATACAGATTCTGCATCTACTTCAGAAAAGTAAACGTGGCTACACATATACATGTGCACTGCATCGCTTTTGATTTCATTTCAAATAGAATTGTTCAAATTCAATATAAAACGACAACTTAATTCTTAAGGTGATTTTAAAGGGTAATTCGATACATTAAAATGTCAAAATATTTATAAAACTTTTCTACAAACTGGGTGCACTAAATCTTTTGAAACGTTAACACGTGAGTAAGTAGTAGTACGACACGCAGTATCTGCAAAATCCCCCGGTCCCGCTAGCCTTTCAGCCGTCACGAAATTTCTGTCCCGAAATTCCCGGAATCCCAAGCAAAATGCCCCGAAATCACGCGCACATTCCCAAAGTTAGGGGCCCGATGACATTACGTTGCATTCGATGACTGCCGTTTACTAGTCGAAGGCTCTCGAAGTGTCGGTAACATGTCTGTGCAGGAATCTAGAACCAGCCCAGTGTAGCTACTTATAGTATTCGGTAGCGTCTCGAAGAAACTCAAGCATGCAAGGCACATTTCGCTCATCATTCCACACCGTGAAGTAGAGTGAAGGTTCTCGCTTCAATGCATGTGGCTCGAAACTCTACTAAAGTTTTATATTCTTCTAATCGATGTATGAATTGAAACAATGCACTGCGCTACTGACGTTTACATTTATATTGACTGCTGGGTCGTACTACATTGGGAGTTGTACTGAATAGCATATTCCATATGTCATTTTAGTATCATGACTGAAGAGATCGAAGTAAAACTTGAGAAGTCCCCTGAATTGATGATTTTGGTAACTCTAATCTATTGTAGAGCTATCTGTTTCATTTAGTGTCAATTAAATGTTGTCTCTGAAAGCTCGCGCACTATAGGTGCTACCTTCATTTTCCATTAACACAGAAACTCCCAAGATACTGTTTTTTTTTAATCCTTTTCACGTTCAAATTGACGATTCTTGGTTACCAAGTTGTTTTAAATAGCTGTTAAATCATCCTGAAACTTTTATTTGAAACATTGGAGCCCTCGAGAATTGTTTAATGACAAAAAATATGGGCACTAATTTGGTTCCGGTCTAGGCAACATTAAGAAATGTTTTCATTTAAATCTAAACTTTGAATGTGTCAGGATATTCTTTGTCATAGAAGACTTACGTTTGGCGATTAAGAAATCCCTTCGAGTTTGTTTATTGTTCTAAATCGTGTGAATTGACCAAGTCCCTGAATACTCATGCAGTATGGTGTATAGTTGAGTGTCCGTAGGTAGAATGCACCACGAGATCTGCTAAAAATGAAAAAAACGGGAAATGATTAAAGACCAAGGTAAGTACACTAATGTATCGATGTTCGTTCTGATTTGTTTCATGAAAAGTTTAGAAATGATGGATGAAATCTATTTTATGTTAAAATTAATATCGATAACTAACCTAATATCACTAGCATCTCCCATCAATGCATAGGATGTCATGTTACACTCTCCATGCAGAAAATGTTTCCAAGAATCACATTGCAAAGCCTTGAATCCCGAAGGTCGTAGCACAGATTCAAAGTAGTAAATTGGGGCTCGACTATGGGAACAAACCACTAGAAATAAATAAAGTAATTTACACATTTTTGCAATTCTATTTATTTAAATGTTTGACGACATATCAATGTATATCTTCGCGTTGCATTTGGATGTTCAACCAAATATAGGTATTTGTTATTTGAGAAATAAATGTAGAAATACAGGATAACAAAATATTAGGTAGGTTGTTATAACGATAGCTATAACACGTGAAATATTTTTTACCGTTTTATTTAAATTATTACAATCTATTACTTGTTATTCATGAAGTAATTACAACCTTAGTCTGTAAGATGAAACTGACTGAATTAGAATGTTACAAACATATAGCAAATATATTGATATCACTGTTATTATAATTATTACATTGTGATTCATACGTATGGGATAAATACACAACTAACATACGTTGTTAATAAACATGGAATTTTAATAACGACTTAACAGAAAAGTATTGAAATGAGATAAGTTACTATGTGAGGTAATTTTTAAATTGAATTAAAATTTTAAAGAATGTTATTAATGTTACTTTAATCTATTTTTATTAGCAAGTACGTTGTAAACATTTGCATTCGATGTTAAAAAAAATTATTTGAAGTAATTTCTTACCATCGCAACAACCTGATTGCTGGAAGCCCCCGTTTGGATAAAAATCTGCATGGCCGATACGACTTCTGATGCCAAGAATTCCTGCACACGTGTGGATTATATCAACGTACACGGCGTCGCTTTGGTGTAAACGATTCGTGGAATCTTTTGCGATGAACATTGGAAGTGCCGGGTCCAGTCCTGTAATAAAGTACGCTGTTTTCCTACCAACTACATCATTGAGTACATCCTTCCACCCTGATTTTTACTTTTCTATATTTATTTAGCCCAGAAACCGTGCGTTTCTAACATTTTTAGTCAATTACAGTAACACGTGTAAATTTCGTACACGTATATTTTCATGCGTTAATAATGTTTTGCTTGGTAAATTATCACTGATTCTTATTTAGATAATGAGAATTCTCTTTCGAAGAAGATAAGTAAATAACGTATTAATATTAAACAATATCATAAGGTGACATGAACTAAATTGTAAACGTATTGAAATCAATACAAATGTAAAAATGACATCTACAGCTTAATAATGAGCATAACGCATTATCACTTGTATTCGGGACTACGCTTTTGGATGTAGTACATCATATTTTAACATGGTTTATGTTATGACGTAGAATTTTATTCGGATAAAAATGCCGCCACTTAAGGGGGTATCGTAACAGCTTAACCCCTTAACTTGTGCGCTCGAGTTAATTCAAGCGTGCTAAACAGGCCAAACTGTGCACACTCGAGATAATTCGAACGGCGTTGTATATTATGCTACTATAATTTTTCACGCTCGAATATACTCGAGAATTTTATTTTTTTACCAAGACAATGTTCTAGCGTTTTTTTCACATACAAAAAAATGGATTTTTTTGCCGGTTTAAAAAAAAAGTCAAGTTTTTTTTAATAGCCATGGCGCCGAGAGGACCTCTAGGAAGTCGAGGACCTCACCTGGAGCATGCATCAGGGGCAACATTTCGAAATTGGCGCGGATCCCGCCAACCGACCCAGCGGGCCCCCCTCAAGCGTCGATCCTGAACGTCGCAACTGATGCGAGTCGGATGCATGCCAACTCCCCGCCGGCGGCCGATTCCCGGAATCTTCTCGCCGAGGAGCATTATCCATCGAAATTCGAGCTCCTATTTGGGCCACCTTTACGCTTAAATGGATCAATGAAACAACATGGAACCTTCTGGAAGCTCTGGAAAAGTCTACAAAAGCCGGAGACACGAGGGCTACGATCTTCTTCGCTCATTAGTCTCGCGAGTGCCCACACCGCCAACATCGACGTCTCTCTGCCAGCCCAGGAAGCCGAGCCAGAGTCCGGAGTAGTCATCGGCAATACCGGGCTGGTGAGTCAACAAGCGAGCCGACAAGATTACAATTTCGTGGAAAAAGAACTACAAAGAACGAGAAGGGAGGAGCCACGCACCGCCGAGAGGAGGGGATGCGGAGCCGACGAGGCTCAGGGCCGAGAGTGCTCCCGTAGGGCCCTTCACTTCTCGGCTTGAAGCTGGACTCTAACTGCAGAGCGGAAGAGGAGGTTTCCACATCCGGTGTGCATCGGATCCAATGTTGAACACAGGGAGGGACGAGGGAGAAACGTGGGCCCACCGCTGCGCCTTGTCGACCTAGCATGACCAGGAGCGGTGAGGAAGACCTCAGCAACTTCGCCTCATAGGGACAGGAACCCCCTTGGAGGCAATGGACTCCCCGACTTCTGCATCTGGGACGGTGGGCTTGGATGCAACCATGCAGGGAAATCTTGGAGGAGGACAATTTTGGGACCTGCTGCTTGTACCTGAAGACATGCCCCTGGAATTCGAGAACGCGTAGTCAGCAATGAAGCTCGGCGCGCTAGGGTAGGCTGGCGCCGAGCGAAACACCTACGGTAGGGAAAAACCGTCAAATTCGGCGAATTGGTCGCCAAAAACCGCTTTAGACCCGGTGGAAGAGGAATTGGGGTCTGCGGAGCTCGAGGACCTAGAAGACTCGCTCTCTTCGATTCGGACCACCGAGCTGCCTTTACGTATTAGAGTCTAGTGCTACCTAATAAAGTGTTGCCTTTTTGAAAGTGCTAGCTATCTGATGAGGACATAAAGAAAACGATCGACGGAGACGACGAGGAGAGCTGTCGGCGTCGGTCCCGTGTGAGCTTTGATCCGGACAGGGATTTGGTTACTTTTGTGATTTAGCTTTGCGGATTCCTTGTGAAAAATGTCAAGTTAGGACGGCCATTCGGGTCAGATTTTACTGTAGAATACTTCCAAGACGATTTTTAATACATTCAGTGCCGAAACAACTGACGAGTAGTCGTAATCCGATCGTGGGGCGTATACGTCCCACGCGGCACGGAACGTGTTAAGGATGCGAACTGTCTGTATTGAGTGATTTGTGTTGGAGATTTTTTGGGGCGATCTTTGGAATAGATTTTTGGGTTACCTTTGTTAGGGATTTGAGTGCCCGTACTAGAGTCTCGGCTATCTAGAGAACCGTCGTACCTTTCCCATACAGGGTCTGCGGTCGAAGAGCCACGCGGGCCGGTGCGTCCAGTAGGCCCACGTGTTCCGCACGAGGAACTATTATACCTTGCGTATTGTTCAGTTAATTACGGTAACGAGCAAAACGGCTGACTTATGTTTGAGTTGCCTACGTAGAAATTCGAAACGCAGCCTGTGAGTTGTTAAGAGTCCGAGCTATTTTTCGTTAGTCGACGCCGCTATCTCTCGCGAATGAATTCGATGTACTAAATTTAAGTTTTACCTAATATAGAGTTCCATTGTCTTGTTTTGAGTATCTTGTGTTAGTTCCCGTCTGTTTATATTGAGCTGGGAGACGCGGGAAGAAGTGATAAGAAAAACAGGGGAGGAAGAAACAGAAGGAGACAAAAGTGCAGAACAATTATGTGCGGAAAGCGAGCAACGAGAAAGTAGAAGAGAAAGAGAAATAGCGGAAGAAGCACAGGAAATAGAAAGGAAGGTAATAATACAGTGCTTGGACCTGGCAAACAAACTTAACAATGAAAATGCAACTTTTCTAATAAATTCGACTATGGTAATGGGTGAACTAGTGAAAAAATTACTAGTTAAAAATAGTTACCTGGAAGGGGGAGCGCATGCTTTGAGTATGGAAATGTTGGGCTTTCAAACAAAAATGATATCGGAACTGAAGAAGGCGGAAAAAACGGCAGAACTAACAAATGAAACAATAGAAGAAATAAGAAAACAAGCTGCGCCTACATATGCGGAGAAACTAAAAATAAATACAAAGGTTATAAGTCCAAAGGCAATAAGACCAGCTAAAAACGTAATAACTATCTTCGCGGAGGAAGGAAAAGACGTAGACGCAAATAAAACAATGAAAAGAATAAGATAAATAATTAACCCGAGGAAAAGTAAGATTAGAATAAATAGTATAAGGACAATCAGAAACGGGGGTGTGATAATTGAACAGGTGATACACAGGACGCACAATACATCTTAAATAACGAAAAGCTAAAAAGTGAAGGTATGAAAATAAACTTGCAGATTAGAAGAAAACCAAAAATGATAATTTACGATGTACCGAAAGATATTGACGAAGGAAAAATAATAGCATGCATAAGGAAACAGAATGGAAATGAATTAGAGGGAATAAATATAGACGAAGAACTTAAAATAGGATATAAAACAGGAAAAAGAAATGAACATACAGCACATTGGGTGATAGAGGTGAGTCCTGAACTCAGAAATAGACTAAAAAATCTGGGAAAAATATATCTGAACTGGTCTGCATGTAGAGTACAAGACTATATAGTGGTTGCCAGATGCTTTAGGTGTCAAGCTTTTAGACATGTATCGAAGTTCTGTAAAAGAGAGGAAGAGACGTGCGGATTTTTTGCGGATATAGGGCACCAATTCAGGGAATGTCCAAATAAAAGTAAACAGCCAGTGTGCATAAACTGTAAGAGACGGAATCAACCAAGCGCGCATGGGTGCGAGAGTAAGAACTGTATGGTAAGAGAACAAGCGATAAGGAACTTACTAGATAGAACGGATTATGGCTAAAAACGAATTAAACAAGACGCAAAGTGGAATAAAAATATATCAGCTAAACATGAGAAACGCGCGCGTGGTAACGGATGAATTGAGAGAGGTAGCATGCAAGAAGAAAAAATATATTTTATTTATACACGAGCCCTATTGCTTTAGAGGTAAGATAATAGGATTAGGAATGCATGCAAAAACGGTATATCCAACAGACGAGAAAGGAAGAACTTATGCTGCAATTGTGGTATTCAATAAAAGCATAGAGATAACAAAATTGACACAGCACTGTACACCACACTATGCATGTGCAGAAATTAGAGTAAATAAAGAAGAAATTTATGGCATAAGCTCATATATGAGGCCGTCAGAAGAAATTGAAGTACAACTAAAACAAGTAAATAAGATAGTAAAAGAACTCAGAGGTAAACAAATAATAATCGGAGTGGATGCAAATGCTAGAGCATATTCCTGGCACAGTGATCTAACGGATGGAAATGGGGAGAAAATGCTAGATATGATTGCAGAAACAAATTTAATAATTCTAAACGAGCCTAATAATCTGAACACATATGCGAGTGCAAGAGGAGAATCAAACATTGATATAACGATGGCATCAGGCGCAATTAGTGCAAGGGTTAAAACATGGAGAGTGTTGGGGGACCTCTCTGCGAGCGACCATAGAGTAATATAAACCGAAATAAAAATAGAAGGAGGAAGAAGGAAAAGTATAGGGATGGAAGGGAGGAAGAGGAAGAAGAGGGAAACAATAGTAAAGAAATCCAGTGGACAGGGGAATATAGGAATAAAGAATATAACACAGGTGGGGAAGAACAGCAAAGATATAACATAAAGAAGGCTAACTGAAAAGAATTTCGAAAACAATTAGTAAAAAACAAGAGAGAAACACTAAAAGGAATAAAAGTGGAAAGCGAGGCAGATGTGGAGAGTTTAGCTAATAACATAGAAGAGGTAATTAAGAAAGCATGTAAAAAGGCAATCCCGAGGAAAAGAATGGTGGGAAACACATCACCGTGGTGGACAAAGGAATTACATAAAGAAAAGAAAAAGGTCTGTCAACTTAGGAAGAAATACCAAACAAGCAGAAGAAAAGAAGATAGAATCAAAGTAGAGGAAAATAAAAGGAAATATTATGAACAAAGAAGAAGATACCACAAAAACATTACGAAAGAGAAAATTGCGAGCTGGAAAAGTTTCACAACAGTTGAAGGCATGGGAGACTCTTGGGGCCTGATATACAAAATAGGAATGAGCAAATTAAAAATAGAAGCAGCGAGATCCACAATAGAATACGAAGGAAGACACACCAACAACTTAAAAGAGACTATCGAAAAGATGTTAGATGGACTAATACGGGATGACACTATAGAAACAGATACAGAAAAGCAAAAAGAATTAAGAGAAACAGCTGAAGAACCATGCAATTTAATAGATGCGCCTCCGTTTACAGAGGAAGAGATTGAGACAGCAGTTAGACATTTTAAGGTGATGTGAAAGGCGATAAGCAACTCCGAATCCGGCCCCTGGGTCTGAGATGGTGTCGATAAAAAAGGGGCCCTAATAAATGCAGCGCCGTCTGCATAGGCTGCGGCTACTAAGATATGCCGTCGGTAACGCCGCCACACTTGTATGGTAACGAATTACCCTAGA